GATATCAACTGGTTGTGGTGTGTTTAAATTACGGAGCCGACCCCATGATTTTGGTTGCTTGCTCAATCAAGCGGTCCAATGTCATGTATTAGTTGCTTCTATTCAAATCACATGAAATCTCTATTCCATTCCTAGCTGCTGTGGATATTTTGGGCCTTGACCACCATAGATCAGTTGAAACCACTGGATGTTCAGTGGAGCTTTGGGATGATCCCTGGTTAAAGGCGCTTCCGGCCACAACTGCAGCGTTGCGGATCCCAAGTGGAGGGGCGAACACTGCACCGGAGCAGTGTTCATGGTCATCCCACTGGCAGGTTTTAGGATCCCATTTTACCGACGAAAGATGCATGATGGGATGATCATACCCAATATACCATAGTTTGATATAGTTTGATGTCTATATGGAACATTATGGAACCGTTGGGGATGGGTAAAAGTGCAAGACCTGGATAACTCGCGGGGACCTATCCATCGATGTCTTGCAGGACTCATTTTCGATCTCTCATCATTCTGACTTCTTGTAGCGCCTCTCCACCCGCTCCACGTCCCCCAAAGAATTGGCTCATGTGTCAGGCCAAAAAAGCGCTCCGGCAGCAAGGACAGCATAGGCACAGACGGTCATTGACTCATTGACTGTTGGGCTGAAGAGTTGGTGGTGCAGAGCTCTCTCAGAGGAAAGTGTTCAATGCACAGGTCATTTTTGAGACAATGCTAGATATAAAATGATATCAATCACATATGTCCATTATGTTCCATTATGGAATGGTACACAATACAGCTAGTGCTACTCAAGTAGACATCTCAGCACTTGAGTTTGCGGGAAGCTTTGAAGGATGGGGTGCTCATAAGAGGGTCTATGAGAAACGGGTTTGTCTGAAGAGTTTCAAAAATTGATGCTTGATCAATGTTGATCATCATTTTCCCCATAAAATTGCCATTTGAATTCATTTTAGGCATTAGATGGTATTAGGTATTCCCCATTTTCAGACAAAGCCAAATAACATTCAAGACAAACAAGAGAGAACCTGCAGCCACTGCGCCAACCCGTTGCAGGTTCTTCCCAGTATTCTGGTCTTGACGGAAGTGTGCAACCTTTGGCAGGCTCTTCCCAATATTCTGGCGTAGGAGGCAGGGCAACAGGGCCATGGAGAAAAACATGGTTGAAATTTCTCAGCATGCAGGTTGGGTACATCTTGAATTTTAGCATATCGCGATATATTGCAATATATTGCATAGATGTGGCTGACCCTGCATTATTCCAGCCACTCATTTCCATGACATCGGTATCAGCTGAGTTGTCGACAATTCACAGCTGCAGTGATCTCGGACCAATCTCACTGATTGGATCTACTGTAAGACAAGCAACATCAACCAACACCAACCAACATGAACCAACTGAATCCTATTGACATTTGAGCACATCCTACTGATCTGGCACTGAATCGCTGAGGGGATCCTGTTCCAGCCATCCAGAGATGGGAAGGGGAGAAGGAGATGAAGGACGCCCTTGGGACACGAATCTGGCGTGAACATTCGGCAACAGCTGGACTTACTATGACTTACTACATAATTTCTATATTTGTTCAATATGTTCAATTTTGTTCATTGTTTCTGGTGGTTTGATGGACAGCTTGAATTTTCAGCCTCAGGCATGATCCTTGATGTTCAAACATTTTGGGTCAGGAGATGGCAGAATCCTTGCTCTGGGCTCAGGACAATGTGCCAGGCAGTTTCTGACGGTAAAACTGCTGTAATATGATGTAAATTACGACAGAAGTGTCATTCCGACCAGCAACAAATTCAAGTGAATCTTTTTTGAATGTTTCACGTTGAACGTTTGCAGCGTTGAACGTGCACAAGCTACGCCTTTCATCTTCTCAGCCTGCTCAATGGTCGGCCTCTGAGGCCTGTGGTGAAAGTACCCACACATGAGCAGGCATGGAAGGGCTTTGTGTCCTGGGAGAGACCTATAAAAGAAGTCCGCCATGATTCTAATATATCATAGTCTATATATATATATATATATGACACCTCAATTCTCGTTTGAATCTGGTAAGACCGCCCACAAACCTCCTCTTGGACACATGGTTTCTACCTGTTTCTACCAACCACCTTGGGCAGAATTGGGCTACAGACAGAGCCCAACTACCACTCCGTATTGCAGATAAGAAGAGGACATAAGAGGACACCAAGGGCCAGAATGTTTCTATCATCAGGATGCCTCCGGTACTGTATATCCATGGTGCATCAAGTTATATCATATAATTATCAATATATATCATATATCAATATATATCGTATATCAATATATATATATATATCACATATCATATATCACATATCATATCTTCAATATTTATGTCATGTATCATATATCACAATTTAACATATCATAAGATATCCATATCCAGTGGACCCCTCGCAGGTACAGCGATTGGCAATGAGGGATCCTCCTCCTGCAATTTGGGCTGTGGAACAGGCAGAGTTGAAGCTGGTGGGATATCCCTGGAGATCGCTGGGAAATCCCATGAAGATATGGAGGTTTTAATGGGAACATGTGGGAACATCATTTGGATGTGGGTCAAAATGGAAGACCATTAATGGGACCACAGATGTGAATGTCTAGTGACTAGTATTCACCATCCATAATTTTGGGGTACCTAATTTTGACCCATACCCATTTGATAAAATGGCAGATACAATGTGGTAGGCCCCTGTACCCCCTGGTAATTTATCAGTTTGCCATGGAAAATCACCATTGATATAGGTAAACCATCTATAAATGGACCATGTTCTATAGCTACTATGTTGAATTACCAGATCCCAAATCCCGTAAATTTTACAAAGCTCCAATGTCTTGAACGTTGCATTTTGTTTGCCTTCATAAGAGAGATCATAGGCACAAGTTTAGCAATAGAATAGCATCATCGTGCAATTGGCGCCGGGGGTGATTCCAGAGCGTTGCCAGGCGATTTGGTTGGGCGGCGAGAGTGTGGAACATCTCGGTGGCAAGGTGGGGCTTCACATGGCGCCATGATGTGATGAGGGATTGAAGCTGCAACACCTGGGTGTGTCTGAAAATAGTGTACCCCTAAACCCAATGGTTAATGATCATTATCCCTACTAAATGGCTATAATTGGGGGTATACCCCATTTTCAGACATACCCACCTGAAGAATTATCATGTCCCAGAAATCTCATATTTTTTGACATGTGAGGATGAGAAAGTCCTCGCTAAGCTACCTACCAACCAGTACAAGGGGGAATGCGACTGGTCTCCGAATGTCTTCAACTTTCATCCTTGTCTCAATGAAGTGTGACCTTTGGATCCAAATAAGTTGCAGATAAGACTTGACCTCCGAAGTCAATGGAACCATCCTCCAAAACACACGTACTGTATACCCTTTGCTAATCAAAGATGGCGAAAATCAAAAATATCAAGATTCACAGGGGATTTCCCATGGTCATGTTTCAAGCTGCCGAAGGAGCCGAAGGATCCGAAGGGTAGATGTATCGTGAATTGAAATGATTTGCGACCACGGCCCAGTTTGGCTCAACTCCGTGCAGTGCTCCGATCCCCATTGTCCTTCACCGATGATGACGACGCCACGACGTTTCGCTTTCATCTTTCCCATGGCTTCAGGTACAGGGCCGGGAACCCGATGGGAGCGTGGGATTTACCTGGAAGATCCTGGGCCTGGAAGTATCATGGCTGATATTGAAACATCATTGAAGGATACGAAAGACATCCATCATTTTGTTTGCAGGTCTTTGCAAGATGCTCACGGATGATGGAATGGCTAGCTGATTTTTTGGAAATAGAATATACATTACTGTATAATTGTATACTGTATTACATGGGGATCAAACATCGGCAAACACAGCATAAAGTCTTACAGAAATCGGCACCAGCTGCATATTAATAGATTCATCAATGCCAACATGTGCGACTCACCTTCAACTTTCGACCATTCAGCCCCGTACCATTCACCACCTATATTTCAACCATCCTTGCCACTGAACCATCCAGCCAATTTGCTGTCTGGTAGGCCATCCTGTTTCAACCAGGATCAACCACTCAACCAGTGCCAAACAACTTCAAACACGCAAATTCAGCAACTTAACATAACTGAATCACATTTCGACCATTTCAAGCATTTGAATCCATTTGAACCATCTCAATCAATGAGATTTCACCAAGCGTTTTACAAAACCTTTCCAAACCTCAGCTGTCGTTGTCAGGTCATTTGAATCCGTCGCTGCCTGTCTCCCGGGCCCTAGTGGATGGAGGTGGGAAATGGTGGGAAAAGTGAATGCAGTCCGTAGAGTTTCAGACCATAAAATCTAGTACAGTACTGGTACTATAGAATACTATAGAATCCCAATTTTTTTGTGCATTAAATACGTACAATACGTTAAATCCCCATAGCTTGTAGCTGCATTCCAGTTTTGTATCCCCATTTATGGTGCCTAAATAGCTTAAATCAGGAGGCGTGTTGATATTTTGCCTTGTGGTTTCGTACATGTTTCTCCATTTTTCCCAGTTTTTTTTGTCGATTTTTTCAAATTTATGTTGCGCCTATGTTTGATTTATGTGTGTGAATTTGACCCTTTTATGTTGTGGTGTAGAGTGGGGTGGGGTGGGATGTTAATGTTCAGTTGAGATACAACTTGCGTAGCCACGCCAATGTGCCTGTGGAGCTTGCAGATTTGGCATCAGACCATAAATGATGAGGTGAAAAAAATGAGGCGTAGGCGGCGTCGGCACAGCCTTGCCGGCAGCCTGATTTTGAACCTCCCCTGTAATTAACAACGAGACAATGATCATTTTACCCCAAGGCTAAATTCCAGCGAGTGACCAATCAGGAGAATCAGGTCTCGAATACCCATCCAAATGGATATCTTTGGTGAACTGTCAGATATTGTGGATTTCCCCAGTGAAATCCCTCCATTTTTTCCCTCCGTCAGGTCATGAGGTCCACTACCTCTGCCGTGAGCAGATGCGCGAAGCCATCGAGGGCACTGGAGCCACCTTCCATGACGAGGTGACGGCCATGCCGGAGATGTATGAAGGGCGTACACCAGACATGTGCCTTGAGGGAAATACATGGCTTGGATGGAGATGTGGAGAGGCTATTTTCATTAGTTTTTATTATTATTATTTTTTTTGCCTGGAAACTTTACATGCCAAGGAATTGTCGCATACTAGAATAAGATATAATGTAAGATAGAATAAGATATCATAGGATAATATATATATATAGCAATAAGATATGATAAAATATGATAATATATATGATAATAAGATATATCATAAGATATATAACAATATATAATAGGATATAATGGGATAACATAGGATATAATAGTATATAATAGTATATAATAAGATATAATAGGATATAGTAGGATATAATAAGATATAATAGGATATAGTAGAATATAATACGATATAATAAAATATAATAGGATATAATAGGATATAATAAAATAGAATAGGATATAATAAAATATAATAATATGTAATAAGATATAATATATATATATGTATACTGTAAGTACAACATGGAACAACATACCACTGGTGTAAATGTACAGAATACACACAGAAAGGCTGACTTTTTTGTCACCGAGGTTTGGAGCCTTGACAGATGTCACCAAGGAATACGGCTTGGAAGATGACTCTTTGATGGTAGCTATGTGTAAAATCAAGGAGATCATGAGTGAAACCTGGCGCATAATTAAAGCTTTTCTGACCAAGCAACCAAAGTTTATTCCATTTCACTGGGTCATTCACATTTATCATGAAGTGAAACCATGAATTTCTGAGCCACTTTAACAGGGAATCTACAGATAAGTGTTTTATTTTTTCCCTGGGCCGCTGAAGCATAGCAATTCCAAGGAAATGATGCTTCCAGGTCTCTTGCGATGGCTTAAAAGCGTCAATGCCCAAGTAGTGGTGTGCTGCCCACTGCTGAACCGCGAGGCCTGTTGGGGCGCCCAGATCACCGGCATTCCCTGCGTGGGTTTGATGACCACGGCGGGACCTGGGAGCATGGCCCATGCGATGAAAGACTTTCTGGAGAAGATGGGGATGACCGTCGAGGAATGCCTGGAACACCGCAAGAACTACCAGCCACTGCAGGAGTGCTTTGAGCGCTTGCGATCCAAGTGCCCTGGTGGCCAATGGCGTCAACATGGCACGGATGATATGTTGTGTTCTTAGCTTAGAGAAACACCTTCTGGGGTCACCAACCTAAAAAACATGGTTTCCAACTGTTTTGCAAAGAACATCTACTGGACGCGGGCGGCCCCTTCAAATAGGAAAGCTGGAAACACACAGAAAGGAGACTACACGTACATCATTGCCATGTGTTCTACCAAGGAAATCACAGTCCTTCCAAAATCCATCGCAAAATGGACACTATTCAATCTTGATCCAAAATGTTCACCAAATTTCACCAGTCAATCCAACATGATGCAACATTTTAATACATTTAAATAGATTTCAATCGTCTCATCATTTTCATGGCCATGGGACTATTTCATGGGATTTCCATGGCACTCTTAATGGAATCCCCATGTTCCGCAGGCATGGCATCCCAGTCCTATCCAGGTATGGCATCAAGGTGGCCTACAACGATGACATGGAGCCTTGCGGCAAATGCTCCGTGGCCATTGACTCCGCCTTCACCTTGGTGACCACGGCAGAGTTCTTGGCGGATCCAACGCCTAAGGATCTCCAGGAGCTTTATGAGGCAACTATTACTATGTGGGGTGGTTAGGGGGTTGGGGATGTTGGGGAGGGAAGAAGAAGGGCAATAGCGTCCTGATAGGATCAGCTAGAGCGTCTTCCCAGGCTGCAAGCACTAGTTTTCCTCGGCCAATAGCCAGTCAGCGCAGCGCCTAAGGTACAAGCTATATTACTCTATATCTCTCTCTTGAGCCTTGACAGCGTATATAAACTGTGCTCAGTACTCATACTATGCCCTGGTAGGGTCGAGTCCAAAACAAAAACGCAGGCACAAATTCAAAGGCAATGAGTTGAGCACTACGCATTTTCGTGCCCAATTCAGAGTAAGAGTTCTAGCTGGTAAACTAGATTACACGTTGGCTAATCAGCAAAACTAGCGGAGAGCGCGCAGTGGATTCTATACAAAATGACGGAGCGCTAGCGACATTGATTGCGACAAAGTGTCCTAAAGACATGTCCTGTCGAAGTGAAAAACAGCGGATTGCGAATTATTTTTTGACAATGGTGCGCAATGCACGGTCGATCACGGCAAAATGCTCTATAGGTGGCAAGTTCTCTCCAAACGTAGGTGCAAGATTTAGAAATTCAGGTCAGACGAAAAGCAATTGACCAAAACACGAAATACACGGATGAAATTCGGATCTCCAAAGTCGCTCATTCAAGCAGACAATGGACAAATTTGGAGTTGGTATAAAGTTCATTCACATCAGAAATTATCTGCTCGGCAGAAAATATGTGGAGACAAATGTGATATCATCTCTTCGTTAAAGTTAAAGAATATAGTATGTATCAGCAAATGAAAAAGACGAAACTCTGTACACAGGAATGGTATTATCTCTCTGTTGTAAGAGTATTTACCATTTTGTGCAAAAAGAAATCAGCTCACAGAAAAACTGTACAGAGCAAAATCATCTTGTGTTATCTTCTCCTTTTAGCAGTATACACTCTCATTTGTACTTCGGTCTCCATTGCCATGTTGACGAAGCTGCGGAGCCACCATAACCAGTGTTGGAGTCTTGTGTCCACGTGCCTCTGCCATCCCAGTTGTCCCATGATTCGTCCAGTAAAAGACCATCACCAAAGCCTTGGCCCTTGCGCTTGTTCGACTTCTGAATATCCTTCCTTCTTTCCTTTCGTTGACTCTTCTTGGCTGGAGGAACATAGGCATGTTTTTCCTTCCATCCCATGTCAGAAGGCTTCAAATGAGCAAGAAGCGGGTTGTGCGCATCAGTGTCAGTTGGGGCAACCATGAAGATGGTGTGGTCACAAGATAAACAGGTTTCATTGACTGAAAAAGAAAATTCTCCACCATCATGTGGTCTTGATCATCAAAATCATTGACGTCCTCCTCAAAAGCTAACCTTGCGTGTCCCCATTCACATATGGACCATGCAACATTCGCCAACACTCTCAGTTTTCTTGGCCAGTTCAGGAGTATAAGTTTCGTTTCGGTTTTTACTCCTCTGAGAGTTTTCGCCAAGAATACGAGGCCCTTGTAGCAACAAGAAAAAAAGTGTTTAACCCTAACGGCCGGTGCCTTTCCGTAATTCTTTATCGTCGACTGAGTGGCTGTATGAATCATACGATCGATCCAAAACTGAAGCTAGCTGACTTCATATGATGGACAGCCTCCGACCTTCGGAGTTGCAAGGTAGCAAACTTTATTTCCGTCGCCTGCGATCACGTCAACTTGGAAACGGATACACTCCCAAGACATACATGCAAGAATTTCTCCGCAGATTCCTTGCGACTTGGAAATATTTTTCTTGTCCGACGTGATAGACACACACACATGACACATGGACATCCTTGCTCGAGTGAGGGGCTCCTCTTCATCAGTGTCTCTGTTCAAAGCTGTGCCCCACAAAATCTCAAATATTTGCCCATGATACCTATCTGGCACATGTGTCATCTTCACCTGTTTTGTAACCATCAATTTGTCGAACATATCCGTCTCTTCCCACACGAGCAGCAACCATAAGGTCACGATAATCATTGAAGCATGTGATGAATTGCTCCTCTTCAAGTAAGAACCTGTAAGGATAGAGGCTTTGCGCCTCGCAATTTGCAAATAAATGTGCTCCCAGATTCTTGACAACGTCGATCAAGTAGTTGTTGAACTGTGGCTTGTCCCCTATCTTCTCATGGTCACGGTCAGTCTCATAATTGATATGCGTTTCACACTTTTGAAGCTTCTCAGGCAGTGGAAATTTGTTGAAACGTGACCTACACCAATTTCCTAAGTTCCAAAACGCCAAGGAAAATTGTGGTGAGGATCGATATGGAATTATCGATATGGATAGTCCAAGTAATTCTGGATCAAACATGCCAGCTCCCAAATACCGTGATGCAAGACACTGAAGGACTACGCAATATGGTAAACAACCATGTCGCTCCCCATACTCACTCACAGTGAGAACACTAGAAAGAGTCTGGAAGTCATCTACTAACCGTTTTCTCGGCTTCATCTGTCAATCGCTCAACGGATTCACGTGCTCGAAGATGAAGACGAGGGTCTGAGCAACCATAGACTGCATCCTTGCGAAGGTCCTCTAGCAATGACAGTGGGTGTTCATCCTTTTGTCTGGCAATGTAAGCTTCCATCAATTGCTTGTCAGAATCGGTGTACCAGTGGTCTTTGTGTGGTTCACTGGTCTCCCTGTATTTTAAAATGCCACAACATGTGTCGATGCTGACTTGAAGCTGGACAACCTTGATCGTAAAAACCTGACCATTCATCATAGTAGTTGTTGGTAAAACACTTGGAAAGCTCTCGAAAAATTGAATCATCTTCATTTCCAGTGATATCTTGACCATGATAGAAACGTGTGGCAGGTTCTTTCTTTGGAGCCGTGTCATCATGTTGAATATAATCTTTCTTCCCCTCTGGTTCCTCTCCCTTCTTAGAGCTTCCAGATGGAGCTGGTGCCTCTTCCTTTGAAGAGCTTCCAGTCTTTTGATCAGACAGGAATGAATCATCTGTCTGCATCTCCGTGCTCACCTTCTCAGGTGGTGGCACCTTAGGCCCTCAGCTTCAGCTTGATCATCTTCGACATCCATGTCTTCTTCTTCCTCTTCTTTTTCTTCTTCTTCTGCTTATCTTCTTATCTTCTTATCTTCTTATTTTCTTATCTTCTTCTCTTCTTATCTTCTTATCTTCTTCTTCTTCTTCTTCTTTTTCTTCTTCTTCTTCTTTCTTGGCAACTCTTTCCATGATTCTCTTTTTGAGATTATTGTCATAGAGTCATACATGTTGAGCCATTGGATGGTACATTCAACAAGTGCATCGTCTTCTATTTCCAGAATAATGTGTTTGTTTTCACGACTCAAACATTCAACAGTACCCTTGGATTCTGGGTCACCTTGGCCTTCATCATCTTGTCGTCTTAGCGGAATGTTGGGATCATCTTCTTCAAGATCAGGATCA